AAGAGGTCAAGATGGGGGACCAGGTGTAAACTGCCTAGCTTATATACTGGAATATGAGTCACACGAGAATAAAGGAAGATAATAGGGAACAAGGATAGAACAATAGTAGTCCAGATAAAGAATAAGAACGAGTCCGGAACAAGCAACTGTTGTATGTAAAAGAACAAAGAGAACAAAGGAAACAATGGATGGGATAGGCTGTGAAGACAATGTGAAAGAACAAGGATGGGGAAGGAAATGATGGGAATGATGGGAATGATGGGGAGAGGGGAACCGGGTGTCTGGTAGGCGTCAAAGTAACAAGTGGGCGTCAAAGTAACAAATAGGCGCTAAAAGAGGAATGGGCGCTAAGAAAGGAAAAGATAGGGGGAAAAGCGGCACTTCATGACATTATCATACAGGGTGTAGGGTCAGGTAGGCGCATTGGTTAGCTAGGCCAAAGTTGACATACCTAGAATACCAACTGAGGGCGGTTCACTCACCTCAGGAACACTAAGACCACATACATAGGTGAACAGTGTCCCATAGGGTGGCATATGACTGACCCTCTTTATCGATTGTTACACAAGTCAACGGATGTTGGAATCTTGATTGAGAAGCATGAATTTACACCAATGCCCTCTTCAGTTCTGGAAGTATCAGCCGCGGATGAGTCCCGAGCTTGGAGCTGAAACCGTATAGGGAAATACTTACTGTCCAGTTGAAACTACCAGTTTACGGCCTAGTTCAAATTTTGCCGAGAAACGAAGAAGAAGCCGTCTGCGGGAGCACATCTTGATTTCTGATTTTGAACACCACCCTGATGTGTATGTCTCTATATGAGTTCCAATAGCTTGGACTTGCTCGAAATCGTCCGATCCTTATCCAGATGTTGAGGTGCGTCGTAAAAAGTTCGGTCCTTTTCCCGCTCTAATCTTGAATTTATTCTTATACCGACGTTGGACAGATCCCCCGGTTTTCTACGATGCTCATCCGTGGCGTCCCCTACAATGTCTGGCGCTCACGACGCAACCGGGACACCTTCTGCCTCCAGTGTATTGTGCTGAGCCTTCTTCAATCGATAATAGCCAGCTAGATGCGACGGCTTGATATTTATGGATCCGAGTAGGATATTGCCCTATCATTGCTTATTATTTATGTCGGACTTGGTAGCTTGTTTCAACACCAAGCGACCAGACAACTGTCAACAATTGCAACAAGGAGAGCAAGTGGGATTTCATTTCGGAACAAGTACCTAGCGGGCTTCACAGGGTCTTTCATGTGGCCCAAGAGTGAGATGTCAACGGAGCAGGCCAGTAGATGCCAACTGAAGTAATGAGTTGATGAGCCCAGGGCAAGCCACGCTCCTCATCGCGACCTGAAGCATCATTCCTAAGTAAGCGGATCAGGGTCTAATCAAGACGCAGCGAAAGTTACGTTTCAAATCTTCACCTTAACCACGACTCGACATGATGGTAAGGTCATATGGCAGGAGATTTTCTTTGAGTTGGTGAGTGTGTTGTCTTTTCTTATCTGACATCTGTGCAAATTAACATTTAACTAGCTACACGGCTAGGAGGTACTCCGAAGCAACCACCGCCGCAAAGCTACTAACAGATGTTCTCTGTGAGATATTCTCTTGGGCTGTGGACATCAACGATGTACTAGGTCATCCTTGTGCACGAAGATTCGGAGCAGTCTCGTTGTCTTTTGTTGCACCCAATAGCGTGCGGCAGTACTCCGTTTACCCCCGTATTTGGGCACGAACCACTCTGCATCTTTTGCGAAGATGCCTAGAAGACCACATATTCGGCAAGTTCAGGGACTATCTTGAGCTGCTTTGGATGTTCACAGAAGTTCTCTCCTCAGAATAATCCTTCCGCGGCTTGTTTTAGGCTATGTCTACAGCCTTCCGTGCCTAATCCCTTTTTCCGCTATCTCCCACGATGGTCTCTCATTCCCGTTCTCCGTTGTAACCTAGATAGATCAACTCGCCTGTATTCCATCCGCGGCGGCCGGGGACATGTAGCGGGATTACACCACAGTAGTCCACAGGTGGGGCGGAACCCGAGACCCGAGGCTTTTACAGACCTCTCTGGCTCTAACCTCTTCTACGGTTTGCGACGCGTTACACCTTTATAGTCACGAACGCCCAGTCGCCCTTCTAAACATTGACAGGCAACGACCGTGAACGCCGGTTGGCTCATCTCTCTAGTACATGTGGCGTGACCTCGACGTCAACCACGAATTCATTCGCAACGCTATCCCCTCTATCAATTGAATACGTGGAAACTCGTATAAGATGAGTTCTGTCAAAGCTGCAGTCGGATTATGGAGCTCGGCCCTGGTAGATCTAAAGACCCACTCAACATTCTGCGACCCATATTCATTGAGTCGTTAATTGACATTGGAGTGCGTCCGTCTGTAATATTCTACTGAACTCGAGCTCATTGCATTTCCCTCAGATTCCTTGGCTATTCTATGGTAACATCTGCTGCATCCCGATCCCCCCGATGTTGACGGTCGACCTCACTTTGCGATTAGGAATATACTCAGTCCTCTTCGCCACCGGCGTCGTCATCCTCAAAAAACGAAAGACACAGAACCGAATGTGGTACATCTTCGTGATGATCGCACTGTTTTTCTTGGCCACGACGGCATTGTGGCTGAATTCATTTGTGGTTACCCTCCGAGGACTGGATACCTTTCGATTTCGACTTCAAGCAGGGGGTGACTCTGATGTGGGATGGGAGACAGAGATGAATAATCCGGTTGTAGTTCCTCTCTTGTGAGTTTTGGGAATTATTGGAGCTTGAAATGCTCTGATTTACATTCTTCAGCCGAGCTTGTTGGGTCTCTTTCCTGGCCTCCAAGTAAGTGTATTCTCTGTTCTGGTCCGCCGTACGAGCACGGTTGAATTTCGTTTGCGGTGTAAAGTTTGATCACAGATGGTGTCTTTGTGAGTACTCCTCCCCACAGATCATCATCTCGAAACCTTAGTTACTGAGCATCTCGACGTCCCTAGATTTCCCGGATATACTTAATCTGGAACCGCCAGTGGAGGATTATCTTCATACCCATCATCTTATGTGTAGCTTGTAATGGTAAGTCAAGTTTCGGGTCCCCAGTCTAGATGACGGGCTTCGACACTAATCAACCCGCGTCCACGTCAGCCCTCGGACTTGTCCTGATGATAGGCCCTCAGAGAGAAACCCCAACTTCATCGAATTACTCATTCCGTGCTGGTGTGCCCTTCGTAATCAATATGACGTTCTGCGTGATGATCGCAGTTATAAATTTATTGTTCACGTCAATGATTGGTGAGTCTTCCTTTTTCAAATTCGGGAACAATTTGTTCGAGAATCCTTCCTAGCATGGAAGGTCTTTTCCGTCATGCGCGAGACCAAGAGTTTATTAGGAACCCGCGTGCATAATCGATACATGTCAGTCGTGGTGATTATGTGCGTACAACCATGTTACTCGCCCTCGCCCCCGCGTCCAAGTTCCAACTCGCACTCCTCTTCGTACTTAGTGTTGAATCTGGGATCATGTACCCCATCGCGATGATAATAGCACTAGTAATCCCGGGAAGCAAAGGAGACGCTCTATCCTTTTCGATGCACCATATCGTCGTGAGTTCAGAGTCCTCGATTGTTCCTGCCTTCCCCATTGATTTGGTTGTAGGGAATCGCACCTTCACTGATCATCGTGCGAGTCGGGATAGGAAGTTCGTTGCAAGATACGAAGAGCTATTTAGATACGATACAGTTTAGACAGCAGTTTGACCTTACCAGTCGGACGGGTGGAAGGAGTGGGAGGATGAATCCGGAAGCTACTATCAGTGCCAGTGTGGTATAGGCTCAAGACCGAGATGTTGCCGGAGAGTATAAAAGAGACAGATTGTGACGCTTGTAATTCAAGGGTTGCTTCGAGGTGCCTCTCATTGGGGGCTCGGGATATGTGACTAGGAAAAGGGCACTTGGATAGAATTAGTGATTTAAAGATCGACCTCCATTTCTATCATGAGGTCAACGTAGCCACCTTCTACATTTTGTGGAGCTCGGGGGTCACCTGTACGTGTTGGGGAATCAAGTAGATTGCGAAAGGCAAAATAGTCGCCGGCCGCCTACCTACCATGCGAGGTGACAATCGAACTGTGGGCAGGTTCCCCTCTAACTCCTTCCATGAAAGGCAATGTCGGCAAATTTGGGTTCTTTGCAGTATTCACAATGAATTCAACTCCCAAAGGATGTAGATCTAGACCAGCCCGCAACTCCTCTTCATCTGACACCTTGTCCGAGAAAGATTCATATCAAGTTCGTCGATATAATTCCCGTGGCTTTTGGCTACTATATGAACTGGGAACACTGGTTTTCAAAATGCTGGGATGGCCGAGTCGTTAAGGCGAGTGATTTGAATTCGAAACTGGATAATGTCATTATCACTTGGTGTTTCACCGCGTAGGTTCAAATCCTGCTCCCAGCGGTACATTTTTATACTCTTTTTCCCTACTGTTTAGCACCAGTCGATCAGGGTGTTGGGATGTTTGTTCTTTCTTTTTCCTTGACTTTATCAGGGTGTGCGGGTGTGAGAATCTTGGGCGCTCGGGATACTTGATAAAACAGGTCATGATGCCACTTCCTGGCGTTAGCTGGGCGTCGACACCATTACCCTGATGTAGACCAAGAAACAGCACACCAATGAGGAATGTGTAGTGTGCTGAGTATTAACATCAAGGAAGTAGCGGGAAGCCAAGTTTCTCACTTTTGTAGCAAACCACTCAATTGATAGGGCATACCTTACCCCGAGACTCGAGGATGCCCGGCTTCTCAAATCTCAGCCATGAGAAGGAAATACGATGACCGACGTGATAGATATAATAAGATGCTCCTGCTCATAAAGCATCAATGGGGTAGTGGTAACCTGGGTCGTTGCCATGAGTGAGGTCGCAAGATGTGGTCTCGACCCGCCGGGGGTTCGATTCCCTCTTGATGCACTGATGCAGTACACTAAATGCGCCACTCTTTTTGGCACTCAACCGAAGAGAGCCATCGCTTCGCGAAAGAGCGAAAGAGCTAGTTGGTAGCCTTAAGGGACCCCGTTCACTCGAAGTCAACAGATATTCTCTGAATGAAGCAGGGGCGGACAGGGCCGGACCGATAAAACCGCTACCGATGACGGAATTAGTAAGTACAGCTTGGACCTTGCGCCCGAACCACCATGTCACAATCGCATTCGATACCCTCATTCCCGCTTCAGAATCTGTAGGATCCCTCATACAATTTCATCGTAATCATAACTTACGCCTCCGCAGCCCGTCAACGACCCACGATTTCATCTTCCGTTCACTCTCGATCCGCGATCTCTTCTCCTACCGTCTCGTAAACCGGCAAGCAGACAGCGACGTTGAAGAATACCTTTCAAGAGCATTTCGAATCGAAAATTTTCTCAAACCGTATTTTCCTCTCGATAAAATCCCCGGGTTTCGCCTCGTACAGGATGAAACGGGATGTTTGATCGCTGGGTCGAGTGCTTTGTCCTTTTTTACAAGAGAGATTTATGATGGGAGCGGGCTGGATTTATTCGTTGAGTGGAAGTTTTGCGAGCGGATCATCGATTTCCTGGTGGAGGATGTTGGCTACGAGTATAGGCCGCGTAGGGGAGACGGGAAGGAACAGGATGTGGGGTTGAAGAAGGCGATAGAGAACATGATGGGGAGGGCGGTGAGCTCAGCATTGGATGAGAATAATAACGATGATGGCGATGACAATAGCGATGAAGAGGATGACGTCGATGGAGATGGCGATGATGAGGACGGCGAAGACGGAGATGAAGATGATGGAAGTACCGAAGAGGACGACGAAGAGGAGGAGGAGCTACAGAGCTCATTTGGACGCCACGGGATTGCCGACGTGCTCTGTTTCAAGAAGGGAAATAGGCGAATCCAGGTCATCGTCAGTCATTCAAGCCCACTTGATGTTGTTCTGAGATCTCGCTCTAGTACGTTATGCCTTCACTAGCAATAACTTCCAATG